GAGTGTAAACTTCAGAGTCCTGGCCTGATGATGAGTGTAAACTGCAGAGTTCTGGCCTGTAGATGAGTGTAAACTTCAGAGTCCTGGCCTGATGATGAGTGTAAACTGCAGAGTTCTGGCCTGTAGATGAGTGTAAACTTCAGAGTCCTGGCCTGATGATGAGTGTAAACTGCAGAGTTCTGGCCTGTAGATGAGTGTAAACTGCAGCGTCCTGGCCTGATGAAGTAGCTCGTCTGTGCTGGCTCATTCTTTTGAACAGTGGCTGTTTTGTTTCCCCAATGTATGACTGATCACAGTCCTCCTGACACTTAACAGCATATACTATATTACTCTGTTTTTGCGGGGGAACTGGATCTTTGGGGTGAACTAATCTTTGTCGTAACGTGTTTTGGGGTTTGAAAGCTGCTGGGACGTCATGTTTAGAGAATAAACTCCCGCCACATATGGAATGACGACTGGTTTGGGTCTGGGTTTAGGGTCTTCATTTTCACCTGGTGGTTGGCTGGAATCCTGTTTGGGTTTTTTGTCTGCTTTCAGAAAAGCCCAGTTAGGATAACCACACTGCTCCAGGGCCTGTCTTGTGTGTGACTTCTGTTTCTCTCTGGCTCCTGTGTTTGTGGGGACACTGTCTGCTCTGTGGTACACAGTTCTGATGACTCCTAAAGGCAGCGTCACACTACAAGAAAATCATGCCGATTTTTGCCCTTCTGACAATCTTAAGGAAGTTCAGATTATCATGATGGCTCTAAAGATAATCATAGCAGATATTCCCGCCATGGGTGGTGAGATAAGAGTGATTTAGTCGGCTCAGAAGGACGCCGGGACAGCTCCGACCTCAAATCGGGGATATTCAACGTTAGATTTTTTTGGCCTGACATCACAGTGTGTGTAGTGTTCATCCGAGCTCGCAGCCTGTTGAATGAGACGTGTAGCCAATCAGAAAGCGAGGTGATGTAAACACGGAGGGGATTCCAAAATACACAAGACAAAAAAACTGTCGTGACTCACCAGAAAGTCTGCTGGATGTTAAAAGTTCTATGGAATTGTTTTTTCTCTGGTAAAAAATAGTCTAAAAACGATCAACATTGTTTTTTCCTCATTCGAATTCTCGCGAGATTTCAGAAAGTCTCGCGTGATTTAATATCTGACATCTGAATGTTCATGAATGAAATATCTTATCTTGTGTGGTGTGTTGTCTCTTGCCGTGTGGCTGTACACCACACAATGTAGGACCAAATCTGTTATAAACATGATTTTTTTATCTTCACGTCTGGAGTCTCTCAGTCTTTGAAAATAGGCCGACTCTTTTAAAATCTTGTAGTGTGACTCAGCCTTAACTTGTGTTCCAGTGGATGATGGGAATCAAAACGCAAATACTGGTCTGTATGTGTGGGTTTGCGATACACGTCAGTTTCTAGACATCCTCCATCCGAAACCGAGACATCACAGTCCAGGAACGCCAACCTGCCATTTTTTACATCCTCTCGTGTGAACTTTATATATTTATCCACAGAGTTAATGTGATCAGTGAAATGTTGGACTTCCTGGGATTTAATTTTAACCCAGGTGTCATCAACATACCTGAACCAGTGGCTTAGTGGTGTCCCTGTAAAGGACATCTTTTCAACCTCCTCCATGTACAGGTTTGCAACAATAGGGGAAACTGGTGAGCCCATAGCACACCCATGTTTCTGCCTATAATATTGCCCCCCATATGTGAAATAAGTTGATTCCAGGCACAGTTTCAGAAGTTGACACAGTTGTTCTGTGGAAAGGGTGGTTCTGCTGCTAAGAGTGGCGTTTGATTTTAATCTTACACAGACCACATCCACGGCCTTATCAACAGGAACGCACATAAATAGTGATGTGACATCAAAGGAGACCAAAGTTGGAGGAAAGACGAAATGTTTCACTAAAGAAGATCCCATCCAGAGGACCTACTTATTTTTTCTTTTTGAAAATAAATAAAAGGTAATGACCATGCAGGAAGAGGCAAAAGCCCAGTAAGCTTATATATGCCTCCACTAAAAAGTACAAAATAAAAATAAAAATCCATTCATCCAACAATACAATCCTTAATCTATTATTTCACTTATTTAATCAATTATTATTCAATGATAAAAAAACTTTTCTTTTTTCTTTTTAAGACAACACACATTTAAGCATGTTCAGGTAAATATATGGAATAAACTTGTATCAAAATGTGTTTTGTGAGGACATAAAAAGGAGCTCTAATCACATCCAGGCCTTCTTGTGTAGAAAAAAAATCTAACCTTAGTTGTGCGTCAGTGAGGTTGCTCATATAGCTTTTAATGTGAGAAGTAATATTAACGTCACTATAAAACCTGTTTTTTTCAGGACGAGGCTAATGGGAAACACCCCGGCATTTGGCTCCCCGGCTTCCCCGAGCTGCAGGTCCACCAGGACTCCGTCCCCAGTGGGCCCGACGTCCAGTGTAGCCTCCACTTCATGGCTCAGGGCCTGGAGAAAATCCTGGAGGACCAGGAGAACGATCTGAATCCCTACGACGTTTTACTTCACCGGCAGCTCCGGGACACCATCTACCGGGTCCGAAAGCTGGCGGTGTGCATGGCCCACAGCCTGGGGGGTAAATGCTCCCGCCAACCGCCTCCACCCAAGATGCCTAAACACGTGTTTGAGAGGAAAACGTGGAGCCACACTCTGCTGAAGTCAGCCTGGAAATATCTGGACTGGCTGCGGCACGAGTTTGTGCTCCGGAGTTCGGGAATCCAAGAAGCAAAGAAGAAAAAAGTTAAAGTTCGAAAAGTAGCATTTGATACATATTTAAGGGGGGGCTTCTATCAGCTGTGATCTCAGATGAGCTTCATCAGGTTCTGATGCAAAGCTTAGAAATTAGGTCTTTAATTGAAATATTTTCCAAATCTGTAAAAGGCTGTCAAACAAGCCTGTGTTTGGTATCTTATATTCTCTTTTTACCATGTAGGATTCTAAATAAATTGACTAAAGTCATCTGAACAGACTCCATGACTCATTTAAAGCAAACTTCAAACATTCAAAGGTCTAAATTGTCATTTTAACAGTTTTCATCACTATTCTTGCCATCGATGCAAAGTTGATAGTTTTTCTTAAATGTATCCACTGCAGATAAACGACCAGAATTTTTAATTAAAAGGAGAAAAGGGATGGGAAACTAACAAGGTACCAGCTTCCTTTCACATCAAAGTGCCAGTTTCTAAGAAACGCGATGCATCAGAAATAACTTTTGAGTTATTAAATTTGCTAATCTTCAGGAGGTGGACGTGTCCCCGTGTGACAGTAATTAATCAACTTGCCAAGGAAACAAATGAGAAGGGGTTCGAATACACCTCCTAATTACAGAAGTGTTTTCACAGTGATTGTTTTCGCTCTGGTCCTTTCCCTTGTGAGGGGGCCACACTGCCTGAGGTGGGAAAAGGAAGTTGATCAGGATCACCTTTGGAAAGCTGCCAGTTCGACTCCAATCAGTTTACTGTGCAGCCAGATGGACAGAACCACAGGAAGATAAATCTGAAAAAACACTGTAAAAACTAAATTGATGTAATCAGGTCAACTATTTTTATTTTACATTTATTATTACTACACGGCCTTAAAAAAATCCAATAAAAATATATTTTTTTATTTACTGTGTTATATTTAACCATCATGACCACTGCTGTTTTAATAAAAAATATTTCATATTATTCTGCTTGTGGGATTAATTATTGTCAAATTAAATCTATTTGCTTTAAAGTACCTTTATTTTTTAATTCACAGGACACTCAGAGCCATCATAAAAATCTACGCGGTTTTCTGTTTCACAGTCACTTTTATTAAATACCTTATTTCACATGCATGCAATACACACAGAATTACATCTTTGTTGCCGTTTTAACTGTATGTCCATGAAACAAACAAAAATATCAGCAATTTCTGCAGCTAAACCTGCTTTCAATAGGGGTGCAACAATATGTCTGTTTTGAACCTCTCAATACACACTATGTGTAGAGCAATACAGATTTTTAACATTTATTTTATCAGCTTGTCTTCTGAAGACGCTCTGTGTTGAAGGATCAGTGGATCTGTGTTCGACTACTCCACCTAGGCTGCATTGTCGAGCACAGATCCACTGAGAAACTTGCTGTTTCAGGAACATTTAATTTAAAAACTACTTTTGAGGTTAAAGAAATGTTCATAATTCATTTTAATAAATTAAAAGTTAAGAAGGGCATGGACATTTGTCTCTTGTAAAGAAAAAATATCAAACCGTGAGACTAAAGTATCGAACCGAACAGTGAATTTTCTGTATCGGTGCAGCCCTCGTTTTCGGGTATGAACCGATGTGAAGCCGATCCTGATGGATAAGCTGCCTGCGCTGTAGACCTGATGATCATCACGGATGAACGTATGATGTGTTCTATGCACTTATGAAGTGTAAATAATAAACTCACATACAGCATTTGTCCTTTTCTTGAGGTTGGAGGTGTTGAATGTCTTCGTTTGTCAAAAAAAAATCCAAAACGGCATTTTTCTTTGCAGTCTCTCTTTTTCCAAGTCCCTGTTAGAAATCCAAGGACTTTTGGATTTGTTTTTTTTTTTAATTTACTGACCCATGATTTGAATTGTTCTTCTTAAACCACATAAATAAGTCCATTTCATACAGGAAGGAGCTCTGGAGGACTTTCGCCGTAGCAATACTTTGCTTGAGGGTTTCGGTACGTGTTTTCATGCTGAACGCTCTAAATGAGAAGAAGAAAATTTAATTACCACAATTAGCTAAAATAGAGGAATACTAATACCTATTTTGGAACTTTTTAATGATGCGTAAAAGAAAGAGCAAAGCCATTATAGAGGTATCATGTTGTGTTTAAATCTATTTATGAGACGGCAGTGGTTCAGAGTGAAACACAAAGATGAGTGTGCATGTTTCTACCTCACTTTTCACTGTTGATTTAAACCACGAGATAAGTGTGGTTTAGTTTCTGAGGAAAAAATATTTTTTTTTCACAGTTTTGTTTCATAATCACTACAGACATACGCATCGTCTCGATAACTCTAAGGTTGTCAGATTGTCAGGCTTGATAGCGCTCGTCTTGTTTATTCGGCTCGGAACCTACTTGTGAGGAGGTCCTGCACTTGGCCAGGCACAGCTCAAAGTGGTCCTCCACAGCAGTGAAAAGATTCTGGAAACCTTTAGCCGCACGATTCAGGAAGCGCTCGAGGAGAGGTTGCTGGTTAGAGGCACACAGATAAGAAATAGTTTATGCATAAATACAGATATGCAGGTTGTAATCCGTGGATTTAAAGTTCTTGACCGTACAGTCGTGCAAAACCTGAGAATTTAGGAGGAAAGCAGCTGAATTTGTGCGTTTACTAAATTTAAATGCATGTTGGTAAAAAGATGCAACAGACAGCTGAGTCGTTTCCTGATGACAGTTTACACTCTGTGCTGTTACAGATGGAACAGATTACCTTATCTGGTTGGAGGCAGCAAGACACGCAATACTCATAGATGCTGCAGCAGCCGTTGGCCAGGCAGCTTTTACAAATGTACTGCCGGGTGCTCGGAGCGTTCACGTTGCAGCAGCTGTTGACCAGCAAGTCTTTTCTCTCGCAGACGTAACCTGTTAAAACAGAAGCAGGAACACTGAGCACACCGGCCGTACCACCTCCGCGTTGCGGCGGCGAGCAACGATCAAATCATTTACCGAGTTCGTCTGTGATCAGCGTCTTCCCCTGGATGGAATTTCTGCACTGAGTAATCTGTCTGCTGCTGTTACCAAGGTTGAAGCGGACCTTCCAGGCGATGCGCTGGTCGGAATCTTTAATCTCTAAGAGCGTGCGTTCCCGTGTGGACCTCTCCTCCTGCAGAAATCACATGAAAACATCACGTTAAAGACATGATAGGATCAAGCGATCGTGGATCACATCTGTGAAAGAATAAATCTGCAGCTTGAACATGAACAGGAGGCTGTTGAGTTTTTGTTCAAATTACCACCTTAAAGGGACCTTCGATTAGTTGTAACATTTGACTTTATTTGATAAACATATACTTTAACTGTAAAATAAAGACTGTAAAAATACTGTAGAATGTTCAGTTTTTATAATTTTTAAACTAAAAGTTTAAAAATATATTACACGGACAGGGCCATTTTATTTACATGCAAAGCATTCTGGGTAAATGATGACATCAACTAGGTCATCGGTGCGAGGCTGCTAGCGAGCTATATCCACCCTGAAGGTTAATCTTGGACAATATCTGATGATCGACTCTTTTAAATGAAACCAGAGAGCGTTGACAGAGAGGAGAAGGTAGAAATGACTCAGCCTGGAACTGAAAATATGGATGGAGGACAACAGAGCTGCTTCATGGAAGAAGAACCTCAGCTTAGCCTGTTAGCTTTAGCGTTAGCCCTGATGCTATCACCATATAAATGTATTAGCTCAGCGCTACACATTCTCCTCTCGCCACTGAGGTCCTCCATCTACATGACAGAGGGGAACACAAAAACGACTCAGACTGCAACTGAAAATATGGATGGAGGACCTCAGTTTAGCTTGTTTGTCGCGCTAGCGCCGAGCTAATAAGGCAATATAGCACGAGGGCTAGCGCAAAGGCTAACAAGCTAAGCTGAGGTTCTTCTTCCATGAAGCAGCTCTGTTGTCCTCCATCAGCCCATTTCCAGGCTACAAATACAACTCACCAATGCTGCTATTCTTCCGCAGTTTCAAAAGTTTATCCGCTGCTTCGACACTGAAAATAAAACTGACAAAAGCTGCACCTCCAGGGTCCAAAAAAACCCCGTGTGGATCAGCTAATCAGGACTTCATCGCAACGGTTCACAAACTTTTCAGTTTTTGACCCACAAAAAATACCAGCAGCAGAGACCTGTGCCCCCAGCAGCTGTTGGATAATAAACATTGTTTTCATGTCCAATAAACAAAGGCATTGTAACAATATTCATTATGCTTTTTTTGTACATTTTAAGTACACTTACCATACTCTTTTGTAAAAACAAAAGCAAATAATTGTTTTAGTTTAATCAACTCAGGAAATCTTTTCAGGAACCCACCTTTATGTTTCAGGACCCTAACCACTTTCTCATCGTACCTCTTTGACCTGTCTCAGATGCTTGTATTTTATCATTTGGATGTCAAGTTTAGTTTAGAAGAAGTTAACAAGAAACTTTGTCATTAATAATTCTGATTTAGCATCAAGCAGAATAATCAGATCTGACCCTGCATGTGTAATATTAATCCTTTTATTGAAAGCAAGGCCTTTGTGGAATTTCAAACTATTTCCCATGCAGCAGTGTGTGTGTGTGTGTGTGTGTGTGTGTGTGTGTGTGTGTGTGT